CATTTCTTTTTAGACCTTCCGATACATGCTTATGCTTTTTGTTGCTTTACTGTCTCTCTCCGTTCATTTGTTTACGGACCAGATTTTCGTCTGCCTCCATACGAACAACTTTTTTTTCTACCGCAGTTTCCTTTCGTTTCATCCCAGTTGGGTCGTAATGCTCTCTGCATGTCCTACTGCTTGCTCTTTCTCAATCTCTATAGAGTAATTGTACTTTGTAGCCACTTTGCTCCCGCTGCAGCCTTGTATTAGTGTGTATGGCCGTGCGAGTGGCTCTCACTGCTGCGGTCACTGCAAATTTTCCTTAGCAGAATTCTATCTCGCTATTTTCGTTTGCATACTCTCTCCGCCGAGCGTAAAGATTAACTTAAGTCGTTCGCGCAGACTCAATAGAAGCGACAGCAGCGCACCGCGCATCAGTACGAGCGAGCGTCAGTGGCTCAATTGGTTCCATTGCCCGCCGGCTAGCAGAAAGTATATCATTGCTCAAGGCAAAGTTGATAGCCGCTCAATAGTGCAGTGGCCTTGCAGAGGATGCACGGTGGAATGCCGCAATCGATTGCGCGCTATCGTTGTGGACAACAACGAAAAGCGGACGAAAAGCGGAGGCTTTCAAGACAAGATGGCCAGTTTGTCAGTCCTCTACCACTCGCGATACACCATGATCATCTATCGATTGCTTACGCGTTTCGTGCTTCACGCACCCAATATTATTAAGGGATACATCCTTATACCCCACAGGGCGTCACCTGCACTATAACGTTGGCTTGCGTTGAAATCTATGTCTTTGCGGTACGGTCGACTGTAGAGCAGAATTCCTCTTAGTATGAACGGCTTCACGTAAACTATACGGGCTTCCAATAAAGCGTCCAGAAAAACAGACGATCATGACCAGACGAAAAAACTGTATGGTAATTTTGTTGCGAGACTATCTAAAACACGCTTGCTCCACTCGCTTAACTTTGCGAAAGACACGCTATCCTGAAAGAATCGACCTCAAAGCAAAGTCTTTGCGGAAAGAGAACACTTCGTTAGTTTGTATGTTTATATCAACAAGATATTCACTAATAATATGTATTCGTTCATGAGCATATGCTAGAAAGCTATGTATTTACGGGCTAGTAATATATAACAATCGATTACTGCTATGTCACCTATTAAATGCATCTAGCTTTTCAATATTTAGCAAACACATGATGAACTGTTTCCTAGGACGATTCAGATTCTATCTACTTTTACACAATCGATGTCAAACAAACAGAGATAATTTGAGGATCACGGAATAGACGCTAGTGTTTCATGCAAGCGTTCCTGTTTCTATTGTGTCGAGCCCTGCATGTTGGCTACGCATTATTAAAATACCATGGTCATTTAAAAAGTGCTTTCGGCATCATCAAGGTTTACTTCGAAGGAAAAAAAAAGAGCTAAATTTATACCTCCCACCCGCCCAAATGGTTCCCTCACTTCGAATACAAGTAAGCTTCGAGCTCACCCTCAGGATGCTTCAGAACATCTTGCTGTCGTACTCAAGACTCTGGTATCTTGCATTTGTGACGAACAGTTACGCTGACCATCAATGACCGAAATCCCATCACCGAGAATTCGTCTCCCCAACCCAGTCTTGTTCGGCTGCCAGGACAGAAGAACAAACTGTTTTGTTTAAAAGTATGGGGAATCCCTGGAATTCTTAGACGGCATCAGATTCTTCGTGGACGTTACCTGGCTATTTCTTCAATGGAAACTTATACTATTTCGCTATTTAGTGCCCGCTGTTTGTCCAATGTTCATACAAGTACCATTTCCTTCCCTAGCTGCCAGACACTTTTTTTTTTATAAATACGCACCTTTTCCACAGCAGCTATTAACTGTTCCAGTCTCCAGTGACAAACAATAGCGGCATTTTTAGCGTCAGAACAGGCAATATCCATACCACGCGGAAAATAGGTCTCCTCTATTGCTGGTAGTGTAGCGCTAGCGATGGCAATATACAATTAACCGTAACCAAATTATCTACTATTGTATTTGGGCAAACGCGTTCTTCCGTCGCTACTCGCTTCTCGTTTTAGCCGATAACCTTTCGGGTAATAGGATGCGCCTTAGCCCGTCGCACCGCGCGGAGCCCAAACGGTCGGCGCTCGTTCGACGTACGCAATCGACCATTACGCAAAACCAGAGGTCCACACAGTGTAGCGGTAGCAGCAAGCCAGACCCAACGCAGTCTTCATCTTTCGTCGTGGATCAGCTACGATTCAAGAAGATACTTCCAACAGCGGTGGTCTGTTATTGTTGTTGTTGGTAAGACAAACCATTGGGCAAAGCAACAAGCGAACAGAGCCTCACTAGGAAGAAAAGACGACTACGCAGGAAACGAAAATAGCTGACCGCTTTCTCGCTCCACTGCGATCGACTGCCGTTACTTGTATTCTATGCCACAATACCATTGTAGATCGACGAGCTGGCGCTGTGTAAGAAGTGAACTGCTGATAAAAATAATTGAAAAGTATATACATCGCAAAATAATAATTAAGTGAAGGGTAGATCATCCACGGGGGCACGAGAAAGCATAAGATGTTAGGCGTAAATTTAGATATGTACAAATTTCTATTATTGGAGAATCTGTGGCTGACTTGTTACGATTTGTACGGTTAGACGTGCAGGTTGGGAAATAAGTGTCTTGACAATTTAGAGAAATCACTTGAGAGACTGAGAACTTCATTTTGCATATGCACACATTATATGTATGTTAAGTGACATTTTTCAAACCGTCGACGAACTCATGACCCATCCTGCGTAATATGACAGTGAGCGAGTGCCAGCTTGATTAAATAGGTTTCGTGTCCCCTTTAATATATAACATAAAACACGCTGGCATAACATTTGCCCACTTAAATTTTTTTTTTACATAAAACTGAGCTGACTGTGGAGACAATTTTACTTAAGCGATTTATGCCGCGACAGCATCAGTCCGCAGCAATTTGCTAGCTAGCAGGCTAGCTGATGAGGCACGTCAGAACAGAAGACAGCCCGCTTTCACCATCAACGCCATAACCAATACAACAGATATGATCCCACCTCCAGCGGTGGAAGTACGGCTCTAAATATGCATACACACATGTTCAATCGAGTCATAAGCAACAACAGGCTTATGTTTTTACTATACCGTTAACGATGTTCCCAACCGCTCTACCTAACTGTTGCTACGACTCCAACCCTAACCCCCGTTTTTATTCCAGCACCGCAGAAGCAGGAATCAGGGACTCCTCCACAACGACCGCTGTTAACCAGAACTCCGCTTATGGTCAGATGCTCACGGATAAAAGTCAGCCTTCCAGAGTATTCTGCATTCAATATTGTTTCTCCACCTGTCTTGTGACATGTTCATCACACTGATCTCTCACCCACTAAGACCGTTGCTGCGATACCGCTGTCGTACGAAAGGCCGGTAAGAAAGGACATAGCAAAATGCATCCTGTTTGGTTATATCTGCTAACCGAGAGAAACGATGCATTAGAAGACATATGACACAAAAAAAGAAAAATAAGACACACTAAACCCCGTTTCCCTTGCCTTTCTACCCCTGAAAGCGTGTGCTGTCCTGCAACTCGTAAGCATCATCAGCATCTATAGCGATATGACACCGAACTTTTCGATGAGTGGAGGAGAACACCATGGGATAGCCACGACGAAACCTTTTGCCGATCAACTGCTAAGGGACAATGTTTATCCAAAAGATTCTTCCTAGAGATCGTTGAAACTCCAGTCGGGACGGCGCACTCAACTTTACTACAGGTCCCAATGTTGTACGGACCAAAAGTCGTATCACTGAACGTTAGTAAATTCAGCGTGCGTCGACTGCAATATATAATACAAAAGTAAATTCCGTTTATTAAGTGGTTAGGGTGCTTGCAACACTGTTAAACTATCATAACCGCTTTCACAAGCTACACGTTGGTATTTAGCCCGCCTGTACATGCGACGACGCATCTGCCTGATTTCGACCATTTTTTCGATGAATAGGTTCACTGCAAATAATCAGCGCGTTTTTCGATAATACGTACATGCATATAACTTATAAATCCGTACATTTTGAATAAGCTGTAATCCCTACATGGAGTTTGGTCTAATTATGTACAGTTCAAACGAATGAGCACCGTCTCAAACTAAGCCTGGTCCCCCCTTTTTTCCCCATAGCAATAGCAGTCGTCGGTTCACTTCTATATCGGTTTGCCACTTGGAGCACTATGATGCAACTGACCGAACGGCAGTGGTCGCCATGGCGGGCTGACAAGTAGGGCTTCGTGGTAAGCGCCGCACAACAATCCAGGACCATACTTGTCGGGCTTCACTTTGAATTCGACTTCCAATCACTATATGCGACATAGCAGCATCTCCGGAAGGCTACAGCTTGTCTATCCATTTAAACGACGTCATCTAGTAATCGAGTGCGCCAGCGCAGAACAAGCTGATTCACTTTTACGGGATCGCGCCGCTCTCTACGTACTGACACGCAGATTGTCAACCTGCGGCAACGTTAGCTAGATCCAACCAGCCACAGACATGCCCCAGCACACACACGCAAAGCACAACCGCAACAGTTCGGCAGAATCTTGTGGAACAGATGTGTTAGTCAGGGAATCAACAGCAGTAGTTTTTCACTGGCCGATTCTGCCGTTCCCGTTGCTCACACAACTCTTATGTACACCAAACAAACAACCGTCATATTAGCTCACCGACGTTAAGATTGGCCAGCATTATGGACCACCGGTAGCAAAAACCTTGCTTTGCTGCTAGCCTCGACCCCCCCAGGGACCTCGCTTCCTTACACTATTGCAATGGATATTGACCTAGTAGGAGGGCAAACTGGGAGCTGGCAGGACGAGGCATGTGCTTTTCTCGTCCTGCTGCCTGATGTCGTTGTTCAGTTCCCTGAAATTACGCCCTTCCGCCTCAATGATTATCCCCACAAGCATAGCAAACACTCTGTAACCCCTACTACATACCTCCGACCACTAAGACGCTTCACCGTCCGTGCAGCCATGGCTGTCTGTCCCGTCAGCCAGCCAGTTAGCGCTCGTTGTTGCCCTATGTCTTCAATAATAATAGCACCGACACGGATCGATTTTGGACGTTGTTAAACGTGTTACCAACACTACCACTACTTCAAACCGAAATCACACTCATACGTACACTCACCGCACACAAACACAGAGGGCTAAAATTCGTGATTCAATCGAATACAAACAACACAGCCTGCTAACCATCACTGCTTCGTCGGCCGAGTTGATGAAGTTTTCCGCTGATAGAATCGCAGGTGCTATCGCTGCTGCTGCTGCTGCTGCTGTTGTAATGTTGAGATTTTTTAAATATGAAATAACGCACGAGACCGACAGGATTAGCTGTTGCAGGCAGCGCTAGTGTAGTATACAGATGAGAGCATTAACCGTTCGTTTCATACATCCCGTCAAGGTAACGAACGAGACAGAGTTTCTCTCAGTCGAATATTTTTGGCACTATTAACAGTGGCGGCAGTGCCACTAATGAAGCTAGTACTTCTGACGTCGTCGGGGTAGTTATCCTGTGCTCCTAGCGACGTTACTGAGATCGTATCCCCTACGGCAGAAAGGGGAACAGACTGGGTTTAGCTGTTTCGATTTCTCTGGCTAGAATTCGTTCAGTATCCGTATTCTCACACGCTTACACCAGTGAGACAGACACGCTCACCCGTAGCACGGTACCGCACTCTCTACTAACGCGAGTGCCGCCGTTCAATAAAATTGCGATTCCTACTGCCGTCGTATCCGCCACGACTGGAAACTAGACACACTTCGTCTATTTGGTAACATTAGTCGTCAAAGAGCGATCGTCTCCGCCGTCGCCACATCTTGGACAACAGGAAGGAAAATTCAAGGGGATTTTTTGCTCAATAATTACTCGCACTTCGCTGCTGGCCCTGCTGAGGTCTCGTCTACCATTTCAGGTGGACACCCAGGCGAATCGACTCCCGATTCTATCCACCTAGCGGCAGCAGCAGCGGCAGCGGCGGCGACGACGACGACGACGACGACGACGATGATGCTGGTGGCAGCAGCAGTAGCACCATCAGCAGTAGCAGCAGCAGCACATAAAGTCCGACGCTTTCCCAACCGCCATCAGAGCCACTACAGTCAAACCAGCATTTCTGTTTACATTCGCCCAATCCGAAACCAGCCGCCACACTTCGCTCCGCATAGAAGCTATGCTGGCGCCCTCTGTCATAGAAAGTTCGCTCGGACCAAAACGCCGCCCATGAAATACATACAGCCAAACACAAAGATGATTTGAGACTTGGAACGAGAAAAATACGAGTGAGAGAAGACGACACAACGCCGGTAGCGGCAAAAGACAGGCGGCTATTATTTTACAACAACTAGCTACACTCAAGGCGATCACTATTTGCGGGTTCTAAGCAATTACGGCACGCTCGGCCGCCGCTGTTCACTATAGATCCACGTTTCGAGTTTTACGTCCGGCACCATCAGCAAGCATCGCTCGGAACGGCTGCCTGTTTCTAGCACAAAGCAAAGTGCGTCTATGCCCGGATTTGAACCTATACCACCACTTGCCCTAAGTCCATCACGCAAACACGTTACTCACTGCGCTATCATAGGGGCCGTCGTCTTCACTGCAACAGTCAACCAGGTAGCAAGCAACATGGCTCAATTCCGCTTCTCCGTACCATAAGAAACAGCAACAGCAGCAGCTGCGAGCCCGAACGACCACAGCAGCAACAGCAAATAATTTAACGGCACAAGGGACTCAACAAAACAGGAAAGGCATTGGCCGCTAGCCGACGATTCTTTCGTTTGGCGGTACTGGTGGGGGCCGCAGCGGAAGCAGCAGCAGAAGTAGCGACCAACAAACGGAGCAATAATGGTGGACAAAGAGTGAAGAGTCTGTCTCTTCACTCCGCTCGATCTCTGCTGCTAAAGTGGATAGATGCGGTGGTTAAGGCCCGATCCTGTGTTCGTCATGGGACTCTCGCATCTATGGACATAGGGGTTTCTTTTGCACTGAATGTGTAAAGCACTACGCAGGCCACGTCGAATGGAAAGAGGTGCTGTTAGCAGACAGCGTGGTTAGTAGCGGCAGTTATAATGTAGAGTAAAGGAGCGCGAAGGAAAAAAGCGCGGGGTGGCGCAGAGCACGAATGACGCGCGGATAGTTTTCCAAATCGGGTTTTGAGATAATGATTATATATGGGTGATCGTTTTTCTATAAGAGTTAGTTGATTTGTTGAGAGCTGGAAGCGACAATGCACGAGAACTACGTTATAAATTCAATATAGGCATACGCGTGTACAGGTGGTGTTGACATAAGTTGTCTTTACTTTCAAGCGCTACATAAGTTTCATGTATCGTCGATATGGAGAAATTTGTATACAAGAATAGCAAGATTGGTGTATGTCAACTAGGTATTGTTAACCACATAGCTATTACAAAGCATTGCGTCAGGTCAAATGTACTACACTGAACGCGTATAAAATAGAAATGTTTTCTTAGTCAACCATAGCTGTATCCTTCCGCGTCTCTTACCAGTTTCATGGTTGGTCCTATCTGGCCCCCAGCGTATTGTGTTGCAGAGCACCATCACATATTAGGCCATCTATTACGAATCAATAAATAACACCGCAACATTGCGCAAGTATTAGTCATATTACCCTAGGTAGCGAGGAACGTTGTGCTATCGTCAGATATCGACCCCATGCCTACTTGCCAGCTATTAGTGAAGCAAAACTGTTCCAGCTTATCCGGATGTCAACTTACTTTTGCCTTCTTCCCCTCATTGCCCCACACTTCCCTTTCCCTTCCGAATACCCCAAAGGACCTCAACTTGAACGTGTGTAAGCAACCCTCCACTCTGGCGCTACGTGTTCATAATGATAATCCTTTTAGAGTAACTAGCTTGTGCAATACTGAGTGATAACAAGTCTGCTTCGTGTCATCATTGGTATAGTATACGTATACATACGGTGTGCGGCATGCTCTGTTCTATCCGGGTTGGCGGGCAAGCATTCGTTAAACTACTGGCTTCAGCGACGTTTACTAGATATAATAATGTAACTGACTAAATTTACGTAATATAATAATACGCGGTGCACAGACACGAATTATGTAAAATTATACATACTTAGCCGATATATTGGCTCCCTTGCTTTCTTTGTCATGAACTGCATCGCCCCACCCATAGGGGCAACATTACTTAATTTGTTTTACTGTGATTCCCAGCCTTGGAATAAGCCAAGGTAAGTCATTTTTGATAAATCTTCGGAATAAGTTGGCCCTTGAAAGGGGCAACCTTGACCCATCCAGTCCAGCATCTCGCGTTCGTTGTTATGTGGCACCAACCGGCTAGATAGAATATTAGCATTTGGCTAATTTTACCAACGGTCATTTATAAACCTGAAATTGGCAGCAACTGCGGGCACTCAGGTAAGATCCTAAACGGTAAAACAGCTGACCTAGGTGAAAAAATATTTCTTCAAGTCGTGTTAACAGTTTTTGAATATCCTTATAGTTAGAATATATCTGCTTTGGAAAAAACTATGTACTCTTTTACAGTATATACAGCAGTTCGCATAGATAGGTCCGCTTGCCACCCCCAGCAGCAATAGACTTGTCTTTAGTACCATTGACAGAACTCAGGTTATGGCCGCTATTTCGAAAAAACGTCATGTTAGTGTGTAAAAATGGACGATAACCACAAAGTGTTTCATATTATGGGTGTTTCAAAATCCCTGCACCGCTTTTAGATCAATCAAGCACAACGCCATTCGTAGAAGATTTTTTTTTTAGAAAAAAATGCGAATGAGGAATGTTAGCGCCACACAAAGCAAATGCTGGTAAAGCTGTAGCAGCTTTTTTGTACTTGATTAAATAAATGATTAAAAATTTCTATATCAATCATCACAATAATAAACGTTTTATGTAGTGTCTAACAGATCAGTTGAAGGGAAAAAAAAACTCTACGACTGAATTCTCTTCTGCACTGTGAAATAAAAGCAAGCTATTTTCGAGATACATAATATCCCTATATTAGCCTTACTTTCATCTAACTACACAAGCTGCTATAAGCAAAGACTACATAGATAACCATAAACAAACACAATGGCCAAATATAGAACAGTTGCTCGTCGTCGATGTGCCTGTCTCCAATATCTATGTACTCTTATATACAAAACGAAAAATCCGTACGACAACATTGGCAGAGATACGAGATAGCTGTTACTCGTCGCTGCCGTCGTATCCTATCGCCTTGCTCGATCACTGCCACATGACGCGTTATCCATTTTCTGCGATTCTCCGACGTGGATTCACCCAGTTGGTAGTAAGCGAAGCGGCTCAATCGAGGTCACTGCCAGCTGATAAGTTCGTATAGGGGTGCAGTGATGACGTGTTGGCCAGCGAGACTTTCGAATTGGTGCAGCTTCGATACTAGTACTCTATGATAATAAAGTAGTGTGTTTATTTCGATGAAAGTTTGCAATCCGCAAGGTAGTACAAGTTCGAGACTGAGCATAGACGTATTATCTGTTCTGCTGGAAGAAGCCGCTGGGCCGTCCGAAGCCATATCCAAGGGAAGTAGCAACTTGAAATATTAGCAGAAAATAAAATTAAATTTGATATCAAGCGTGCCTACACTCTGTTGCGTGTCCGGAAGTAGCCTGTTAAGCAAGGCTTAACGTTAGAAATCGTAGAAAAGCTCAAAACATCTGGGCTGTTATCAACGAATGGACAGATGCACGAGCCATTCGTTGAGGGATCAACCTGCTGAAGGACCAACCGCTATTGCCATTAGCCGCCCAAACGACCGCCGTTAGATAAACACCATTCACTTTCTGTAGCCGACGATCATACGACAAGATCCACCTATGCTCGTTAGGCGTATTCAGCAAGGATCTGTAACAACTGTGGCACGTAGAACGGCTATACCAATAGTGACTGTAGTGGTACCTAATCATTCGAGCTTAGCACAAAGCTTCCTAAGACGGGCGCTATAGTATAAGCGTACAGCATTAGCTATGTTCAAGTACAGCCTGATATGTTGGATCGCGTACTGTAGAACGGTCCGTTATAGGATCATAGGCGCATTAGGGGGTCCCCTATTATCGTAAGCATATTACTGAATGATTATTATTTCACTGCTCTGTTTGTCCTCTCGGATCCGACTGATCTTCGGTTTGAGACCAATCTCTAAACACTACAGGAGCAGGAAAGGGGGAGCATATCCGCGCACGAGAATAAGCCCGTATTACTGTTGCCACGATTAGTCTACACCCAAATAAACGTTTAGGCTGTCTGCTTATTTAGGCATACCCCTGCATTGAATGATGAACGAGAAATACTACTAGTCTGAACTAAACCCGTTTCGCGGAGATTTCGAGACTCACGGCGTTTGCCTGCCATGTCCAACCCAGCGCTAACTCTGAAACACTTTTGTTCATCTCTAGTCACTAGTTATCCCACCGTGGGGTCTTTTCGTCCATCGGCTATGGCACACATTGCTGGCACTAACAAAGAGGTAAAAATTTCAATAAAATCAGTAGCCTTTACGAAAACGAGGAGAACAACAAGCAGCTTTTCCTAGAGTGGCGACAGCCGGAGAAAGCCTGGCCTCTAGACTGATCACTATTTAGGCTAGCGAGCATGAACCGTAAGGCTAAAAGGACCAAAAGGTTTTCTTTTTCCAAACGTTCAAGCATCAAACAATATATAGATGGAATGTGATGGAACTGGTGGCTGAGACTTCTAAAGTGATGTTTGTTTCTACCGGGCTACGATAGATACGATATACAAATACTATGACTAACGCATCTGACGGAATAATTCGGTAAAGCATAATAGATACGAGCATTGGCCAGACAGACAAAATGACGTAGAAACAAAAGACCGTGCACAGGGGGCGGACATGGAATAGATAAAGCAGGCGCAAATAGGGAACGCACACACAAACATGAAAATAGACAAACAAACATCATAATTACGAAGTCTACGAAGCAGGGTCGTCTCCAAGTATCCCGGTATACGAGAGTGTATCCTACCATATACCAACTAACGGAAACGCTATGTGGCAATATTCTGTGAGGTTTGTTCTTATCGATTTGATTGTATTATTATTATTATTATTATTATAAAACGCTTATATTTATAGTATTATTTTATTCACTTAATCTCGTCACAGATGCTGTGCTAAACTACGACGTTAGGATAAAAGGGATGCTTCATTTTTCAAAGGATACCAACCGAGGTTTTATCAGAAGGTACAAATTCGACGAATCGATGTAAAATGATTATAGCGCTTGACGATTGAGTGACGCAAAAGGATTTCATCAATACGAGCACCCGCTGCTGAAACTATCGAGCTTGTATCCCACCTATCGTGGAAATCAGATGCGTGTATATAGTTAACTTAAGACTAGTCCGTATCTGAGAATCTTCCCAAATATTATTCACTTCTAACGTATGCACCATTCGTTCATTTACATGACGCGCCATATAACTTGGAAGCAAGATAGATTTTATGATCTTATAAAGTTTATGTGGTAGTTAACGCCTATAATACAAGAAAGGAAATGTCACTTGTTATTTTGAAAGTAGTTCATTTTCTGTGTTTAATAAAAACAAACGTATATATATGTTTTTAGAAGGATCGTTCAAATTCGTCTGATCATATGCTAACCATTATAACAAAACTATAACTTAGATTAGCAGATAATTATATACACGCCACACACGTTCTTCACGTCACGTAAAAATTCTTTTCAAAACGACCCAATTGCCGCTCGTCACTACATCTTCATCACAGTTATTTATGTTTGTAGGTTGCTTTCTAATTTCGTCGTACGAGCCCCTGCCGTAAAAATATGCTACTTACTTTCAACGGTCCTGACCCCATGATAACATCATATTGGATTAGGCCTAAATATCTTTGCGATGGTGCGATATTATTTCAATTTCTGCAACCTGTCAACAGCTTCTCCTGACTTCTATTCAGCCTCAGCTGCATCAGCTATGGCTCGAACTATAACAAGCATAAATCCATTGCCGTCAGCTATCTAACGGAACCCAATCTCCAACTAGCTATTATGAAGTATTCGCAGCATCAGAAACAAAAGTTGTAGTAGGCATAGAAGCAACATCAACTATATTACCCCCAACACCCCTGGCATTTGGTGACCGCCATGTACACTATTCTCGTCAGCGTCTTCGCTTTAGTTGCCACTGCTACGGCCAGCGCAGTAGTGCCGGCAGCAGCAGCAGCAGCAAAGACAAACTCGTCGACGGCATTTAAAGAAGAAGAAGAAGAAGATATGACGCTGCGTCGGTTCCACTGCACCTCGTCGTGGGTCCGACCGATCGCTATGACCGTTGGCGCTGCATGCTACTGTTCTAGGTTATACTATGATTGTTATTTCTACAGCTCCAAAGCTTTTTACCACGGC